GGAGTATATGTCGATGTTAGAGAGATTTTTACGGTTTTACACAGTCTCTCACTATAGAATTTTCAGCTTTGATATGGGGGATGGCACATAGAAGACACAATGATGAACATAAGTCTTTTTAATTTTATCATGATGGCTGGGCACTCTCAAAGTTTCTCCCGCGCCCGCCCGACGCGGTCGGAAATGCTTCTTAATGGTTATATATTTATAGAATATGATAAACCTTGGCATTTTCCCCACAGATTGTGGTGTGCATAACTGATGAGATCACCTAGAGATAGGCAGGTTCCGAGTTAGATGCTACTCCAATTTAATCGAACTCACCACAAAATTCCTGAAATTGTGATTTGTCATTAGATATGACCCCTTGGGTTTAGAAAGCAGGTTCCCACGATCTAACTTCACTACACCAGGTGTTTGCCCTGTGGAATTGTTATAAATGTGTAAAGCAATGTGAACAATGCGACGAATATTTCTTAACCTAGTTCGCGGCATAATATTCTTTCGGTTGTATTTCAAGAGGATAACTTCACACAATTTATACGGTCACAACAGTATCCTGTTCTACGCTATAGTATCACGTCTATAATAACGGAATAATATTTCTTTTCGCCTATATTCAATTCCTTCAAGTATCTTACTGTTTTCCTTTTGGTTGGTGAAGTAATAATAATAATAATTTTTTTTTCCATGCATACTTTCGCATTCATTTTTTTGAGGATACAGGATTTTAACTTTCATTAAAATTTATTAAATTAATTTAACAAAGGTTCTAAATTGCCTGAAAATACGCAGCAAACGTGGGCATTAACATAAATAAATATAATACATAAATAAATGAAAAAAAAATAATAAATAAATAAATAAATAAATAAATAAATAAAATAAATAAATAAATAAATAAATAAATAAATATAATAAATAAATAATAATAATAAATAAATAATAAATAAATAAATAAATAAATAAATAAATAATAAATAAATAAATAATAAATAAATAAATTAAATAAAATAATAATAAAATAATAAATAAATAATAAATAAATAATAAATAATAAATAAAATAAATAATTGAAATACGAAAGAATATAGGCAGTATGGTGTGTATGTCATCATATAAGTGAATTTTGGCATATTCCATCAAAGGTTAGAGTAATACATTTAGGCGCGTTTTTGAGAAGATCTTGCAATATGGGCACGAAAACTACTAAAGTTTCAAAAATGTACATGACTGAATGAACGACAGCTAAATTGTGGTCAATCAAATTTATATTTAAAGGAATAACGCGTATCTTCGTTTGTAGTTGAAGGAAACGACAAATATTATACTTTTGAAATTTTCGAAAATTACAGAGTTAACCGTGAAAATGGGACCGTGTGCCAGCTTTCGTGAAGTGTATGTTATCATTCTTACAGAAATTTAAAAAAGCATTTGGGGATGATGTTTTTGAGAAAATTTTGAAATTGTCCGGGAGAAAATTTTGAAACTGTCACTTTAAAGTATCAGCAAATATTAGATGTTTTTTCAAAATCTGATCTTCTAAGAGCTCGCAGCCATGGACGCGAGAGGTTTCTTCAAATTTGGAAAAAATCCTACGGCATGCTTTAGACCACTAGTAGTGTTCAGATGGACAGAAGCGGACGTTTTGCCGTCATTGTTTTTCTGTATCAAGGATCCAGAAAAAAAAAAAAAAAAAAAAAAAAAAAAAAAAAAAAAAAAAAAAAACAAAACAACAGTTTCTGGCTGAGTGCGTGTTCGAGATTTTTTTCTTAATTTAGAGTTCTGTATCCACTTTTTCGTTTTCTAATAGAGGTAAATGAGGATAAGGTAAAGGAGGTGGTGTCAGTAGATCGTTAATGATTTACTTTTTACTTCCGTATACATACTGCGATCAAGATACGTGTCCGAGGTCTCTTCTACTGAGCTGTGAAACGATTTAACTCTCATTAATAGTTAATAAAATCCGGTTGCCTTTCTAGAAAGAAGAATTCGTTTGTCTGAATTGTAAGCCTATTTTGCCTATCACACTTGCGTGGTAGTTGCCGTTGTGTAAGGTAACTTAATAAGGCTTACTTTCTCTCGCGCGTATCTGGAGGTGAAATCTCATTTCATTATATAACGCATTAAAATAAATACTTGCTCGCGCTGAGAACTGCCTTTGGTTGTTAGATAAGTGACTTCTACTGTGAGTGACTTTGTGCATTGGATGCATGAGACACATGCAGACTTAGATGGTTCAGCTAGCATCACTAATGCATCCCTGCAGTGCCTCTGGCTCGGTGGGCTGGACCACTTTTCAGCTTACTGACAGAGAAGCTACACGGTCGAGATGTCATTTCAGGAGGAGAATAACACACTCGGGCGTTTCCTATAGATCGGTGATAATTTCTGAGGTTTCACTATTAGGACCAGACCCGAACTGGTAGATATTCCTGACGCACGTCACTCCCGCTGCGGATTCTTTCTTCCTCTTCCTTTTTCTAACATTCTTGCATCTGGCATCTCTGTTAAATACGCTTTTAACTCAACAGCGCATACACTAACGCACATGTTCTGTGATGACCAGGATCCGGTGTGCATTAGAGCTTACCCTGGCTTGGGCCGGTGTCCTTGCCGGTGGTATATATACCTAGAATTTCAAATGGGCTACATGCAAGGTTAGGGTGAAAAACT